TAAAAAGCTTCTGCCCAGCAAGAGAAACCAGCAACAGTGTAAAGAGACAACCCACAATGTGGGAAAAAAATTTTCACCTGTTCCTCAAAGGTCTACCTACTATCTAGAATCCATAAAGAGCTTAAAAAAATCAGACTTCCCAAATTTAAAGACCCAATCCAAAAATGGGCATCTGAAATGAACAGAGATTTCTCAGACAAAGAAGTAAAAATAGCAAATTAACATTAAAAAATGTTCATCATCACCGGTCATGCGAGAGATGCAGATGAAAACAATGCTGAGATTCCACTTCACCCCAGAAAGAATGGCTGCTGTCATGAAATCAACCAATAACAAATACTGGTGAAGCTGTGGGGAAAGAGGAACCGTGCTCCACTGCTGGTGGGAGTGTAGACTGGTACAACCACTGTGGAAATCAGTATGGAAATACCTCAAAAGAACTAGGACTGGAAGTCCCATTTGACCCAGCTAGTCCGCTGGTGGGTATCTTCCCTAAAGAATTAAAAGAATCATACCACAGTGATACATGTGCACCCATGTTCATAGCAGTGCAATTTGTGATAGCCAAAATTTGGAAGCAACCCAGTTGCCCATCAGCTGGAGACTAGATAAAGAAAATGTGGGTTTTTTTTTTTATAAAATGGAGTAGTACTCAGCCATAAAAAATGAGAAATTAGAGACATTCATAGCTAAATGGATGCACATTGAGGCGATACTCTTTAAGTTAATTAAATAGGACACACATGTGTAAATACCGAATAGTTTCTCTAGTGTGTCATTATAGTAATTCTTGAAAGTTGGATAGCCGTAAGTATTTTGATCTTTTTCTCCTTCAGTATTAAATTGGCAGTGGATCTTTTACTTGCAGTTTAGAATGTGTTTGTGAATATCTACACATAACTTGTATGAGTTTCCATTGAATCTATAGAACAAGTTGGGAAGAATTGATACCTTAGTAATATTTAATCTTTTCATAGAATCTCTCATTGAATAGAATCTCTCTACATTTCCTTAGTCATTTTTTATTTCTTTATTCATAGTTTTATTACTTTTCTCATATAGATCTTATATGTTTTTGTTAGACTTATTAAAATACTTATACAATAGTAATTTGTATAGAAATATTTTATTTTGGGGGTTAATATAGTTGATAGTGTATATGTTGCTAGTGTAATAGAAAAACAGTTGACTTTATATATTGATCTTGTATCCTTTTATAATTACTGTTCCAAGAGGGGGTTTGGTTTGCCTTTGCTTCATATTTCCTACATATGTAATTATATCACTTCAAAGTGATATAATTTCTCCCAAATCTATACCTTGTCTTGTCTTGTCGCATTAGCTAAGACTTCCAGTAAAATGTTGAAAATGTGTAGTAAGAGGAGATATTCTTCCTGATCGTAGTAGAAAAGTTTCTAGTTTCTCACTATCAAGTGTTAGCTTGATGTTAGTTGCAGGGGTTCTGTAGATGTTCTTTATCAAGTGGAGGAAGTTCTCTGTTCCTAGTTTGCTGAGCATTTCTATCACAGAATAATGTTGGATTTTGTCAAATGATTTTCTGCATCTGTTGATGTGATTGTGAGATGCTTTTTTCTTCTTCAGCTTGTTGTGGTGGAGTATATTAACACATTCACGATGGGACCTTAATTCCTTTATCTTGCTACCAGGCAGCTCTGAACCATCAGTGGTATATGCATGACTGTTCCATTGAACAAGAGACAGTCCCATTGGGTAGTACAAGCCACCCAAGCTGGTGGGAACATGTTAATTGACTTTCAAACACTACATTCCTTAGATACTTCCTACTTAATTGCAGTGTATACTTCTTTTTATATGTTGTTGGAAATTATTCTTGATCTCATTGAGGATTATTACATCTGTGTTTAGGAGAGACTGGTTTGTTGTTCATAATTTTGTTTTGTCATATCTTTGTCTGATTTTGAAATTAAGCTAATTGTGACTTTATAGAATGAGTTAGAAAGTATTCTCTCTGCTTCTGTCTTTAGGCAAAGATCATATGTAATTTGTATAATTTCTTCCCTAAATGTTTTGTTGAATTTACCAGTAAACCCACCTAGATTTGCTGCTTTTTGTTTCAAAAAATGTTAATTATTGATTCAGTTTTTTAATATATGCAGGTCTATTCAGTTTGTCTGTTCTTGTGTAAGTTTTGGCAGGTTGTGGCTATTAAGGAATTGGTCCATTTCATCTAGGTTTTCAAATTTATAGGCATAGAGCTGTTCTTTTTTTTTTTGGTACTGGGGATCTAACTTGGGACCTTGCCCTTGCAAGGCAGGCAGCAGAACCACTGAGCTAAATCCCTGGCCTGGCATAGAGCTGTTCTTAATATTCTTTGACTATCCTTTTAATGTCTGTAAGAGCTCATTTCCTCACAATATATTTGTCATGCAGAATATAAAATTTCACTTAAACAATTTCTTTATTTGAAGAACAATTTACAATGATATCTTGTTTCCTGGTGTGATACTCATCATTTCAGCACAGGAAAGAAAGTCAACATGTTTGATGATGGAGGAGCAGAAATTATTTGACTGTGATAGTTTTTTGAAATGATCATTCAAACATGTGATGAATTGTCATACATACTGTTTTTTGAAATGAACATAATTTTTATTGTAGAATAAGAAGTTGTTTATAATAGTAAATTCAGAATTTAGAAATAGATAAACAGATTTTTTTTAATTGTATTTTTAAAAAATCAGTTCTCCAGGTGCTGGGAATGTGGCAGACCGTGTTTTGGCTCAGCTCTTAACGGAAATGGATGGGATTGAACAGCTAAAGGATGTGACAATTTTGGCAGCTACTAATCGTCCGGATAGGATAGACAAGGTAAGAACGATGGTACTCTGGGTATTGTAAAATCTAGAACTGGCTCAGTTGATTTTTCTTTTTTTCCTCAAATCACTTTCCAAATAGTTTTTCATTAGAAAATACTGCGAGGGGCTGGGGATTTAGCTCAGTGGTGCCACCGCCTGCCTCACAAGGACAAGGTCCTGAGTTTGATCCCCGGTACCAAAAAAAAAAATACTGGTAGATGTAAAATAGATTCACGGTGTACTGATTACATGCAGCAGGTTTATTACTTTGCAGATAGGCAGCAGAGAACACCAGAAAGCTAGGATTCATTGTGAGCCAGTCCATTACAGTTCAGGAAACTATTGCAGATATTCTTAACTGTGTGTACTCCACTTGCACTGCAGTTTAGAGTCCCTGGAAAGCAGCTTGTCCTAGGCTCAGTTCCCTGGGGCAACTGGAATCACTGGGCAAAAGCATTAGAAAGACATCTGTTTCTACAGGAAGACTGGAACAAGCCTGGGCTGTTCCAGCTTGGCCCTCCCTATCTCAGGATATTGCATTCCAGCACATTTTTCACTTACACTTGACAACTGCAAGTGAGAAATGGGGGAGAAACTGAGTTAGTTTAAGGCCTCCCAGAGAACTGTCCTACAAAGCATTTTAAAGGGAATGAAGAAAACAAAAGCTTTATGAATATGTGTGCATATATGTATACATGTGTATATACATACATGTATGTACTTACATGTGTATATATTTTTGCTTATGTGTCAATGTTAATGAAATTATTTCGTGACTCTTCAGCATCTCCTCATTGTTTCATGAACTTTTACTTTTTGTAGAGAATTAAAGTTTTAAGATTGTTTTTCTGTTTGTCTGATCTTATTTATTCTTCTTGAGAAGTTTTTAGTATTTTCATCTATGTTTTCCTAGGAAATTACTTAAGCAGTGGCATTAAATTAAATAGTATAGTACAAAATGAACCCTTTGAAAGTATTTCTATCACTTTTTTCCCAAGTCATGGTTTAATAAAGGAGTCCACTAATTTAGGTGCTCATTGATATTTAATATGTGATTTTTTTTACAAGGATTTGAAAGTAAAAATTTGCTTCAAGAACATGAACAAATTAATTCTTTTTTTTGTTAGTATTACTGCCTCATGTGTATGACCTTTAGAGCTCTTCCCTCCCTGTGCACAAACATACTTTACTTTTAAAAATGTGATTGTGTAAAATCAATTTAAAGATATGGAAAGAGCTTTTATGTAAGAGTAAAATTTTGCTTTAATTAATTTACGTATTTTACTGTGGGATAAAGAAATCTTATATCATCATATACAAGTCAGAAAACTTCCCTTCCCTTACTGATGCAGTATTTCAGTATATGCTGAAATGAGTTCTGAACATTTATAGTAGCAAGTGCTGAAGCATCTGTGAAGTCTGTGCGAAGGATAGAACTGAATCTTAATGAAGATACTAGAAAGTGCTGAAAGAACCTTATTTCTCCTCTGCTTTCATAATAATAGTGCTGAATGCAGTAAAAATTTCTTTCCCTCAGTAGGAATATGTTAATATTTTATGACTTTTTGTTGTTGCTGTTGCCTCCATTGCTGATGAGCTCTAAAATTTCTTATGCTTCCTTCTTTCTCTCCTGGGCCTAATCTAATAGTGGCTTTATTTGGTTTTATTGTTGGATAAGCTCAGTGCTAGATAATTTCTTGAAGTAGAATTTAGGCTTTCAATAAACTTTTCTATGTTCTTTTACATAAATTGTATGACTTAGCCTGGTTAGTGCTTATATGAGGTTTTTCTTCCTGTGTAACAAACTGCCACAAACACAGCAGCTTTATGCAACACCCCCTTATTATCTCACATTTCTGTAGTTCAGGATATGAAAATGGCATTACTTGGGCTTGTTTGCTTAGAGTCTTAACCAAAGGCGAAGAGCAAGTTGTTGGCTGGACTGCTTTAGGAGCTTATGTTCTAAGTTCTGATGATTGTGGCACAATATTCTTCTTTAAGACTGTAGAGATAAGGACTAGCAATTTGGATCCACTCAGCTATTAAGAGACTACTCACATTTCTTGCCACATAGCCCCCTCGGAGACCTTCAAAGACAACAATGGAGACTCTCCAACACATTTTCTCTGTCATCCTTAATATTTTCTTTGCCAGGGGAAACCCAGTGCTTTTTAAAGGCTCATCTAATAGGTTAGGCCCATCTGTAAAAAAAAAAAAAAATTTTTCTCTACCTCATAGTCACCTAATTTAGGAGTTTAATTACATTTGTAAAAGCCCTTCATAGTAGCACCTAGACTTGCATATGATAGAATGTAAGAAAGAAGGTGTGGCTATTAGGGGACCAGGTCTTTCCTTGGAGTCTGTTAAGTAATAGCATCCAGCTTTACAGTTGCCAAAGTTGAGTGAAACCTCAGAAGTTAAGCCACAATGCAATCAGCTATTAAGATCTTTTTTCCAAAACCAGCTTTTCTTAAATTTGTGCTACTTTCCACATGGATTCCCCACTATTTCTTTTCCCTAAATCCAAATGGCCTTCTGGTAATTCCTATGGTGTTTAGTACAAAGGTTTCAGGGATTAGGAATAGAGGAATTAATCTTAATAGATTTATTGTATTAGATTGCATCCATCTTTCTAATTTGTCAAGTGTGGGATCCTATTCTGCCAATCTCTGCATAGATTATCTCTTTATGCATTAATAGCAAAGGCATTGGAATGTAAGTGTTGAGAAGAATTTATGTAGGAAAGTTTATAATGTATTTTTCATTATAATAAAATCTAAAAATATGAAAATGTATTTTACTTTTTTTAAATGCTAGATTATGCTCATCTCCTGGAAGGGACAGTGTATGTAAACCAGAGCAGTGCCTTGGATCAACCATTATGTTTCATATCAAGTAATACTGTTTACCTTTCACAGCTTTTCAGTCCATTAAGCCAGTAAAATTTATGGCCTAAAAGTTATTGTTTCTCTATACATCCAGATACTTAATAACAGTCTTACTCAGAGCTATGTTTTGTTATGGAAGACATAACAATTCACAATTTTAAGACTGATGCCTTATGGAAATCCAGAGGATATTTTGTTCTTTGCTTTAAAGTCCAAAAAAGTAGTTTATATAGTAAGATTAAAAAAACAAGAGCTGTAGTATATTTTAAGTAGAAAAGTAGCTTCCTATTCTAAAATATGGTATATTTAATATAGTATATTTATTTAAGTATATAGTTCAGGATCTTCAGTGTAAGTGAGTTTCATAAAAAATTTAATTGGCATTGAACTAATCAGGATGTTCTGAAAAGTTACCAAAGGGAACTCTGAAAGAGAAATTAGGGTGATTAAGATTATTTATGAAGAACAACTAAAAGTAAAATTCTCATGGTTTACGTGCAAATCCTGAGGAAAAAAATTGCTTTCTTTTATCTTTGATGGAAATGGACAAGATAAGTCATTTACAAATTTAGATGAATTCCGATTTGAATCTTTAAATGATTAAAAAATGCTATTTTAGTTTTGTTTTAGCTTTAAAATGATGCTGAAGCATAGTTTTCTATTTTTTAGATTTATAGAACATAAGTATAGCATATATATTTTCCCTATTGTCTATTTTTTTATTTTGCTCTTTATTTCTACTTTGAATTTCTCATATAAGACAAAGTTTATTTAACTTTTTATAACAGTTTCATGGAGGTGTGATACTGCATTTTATTGTATTGTATTGCATGAACAGTTGTGTAATTTTCTTTGAGCTTTTTCTTTCTATTCTGAGCACAGCCCTTCTCAGCCTTAGTATTTCCTTACGAATTTTCGGGAAGTGCTCAGCAGTTGGAAAGGGATTTTTGCATAATGCAGGCTGCAAAAGTGAGATAATCTGGAGCAAGTGTCATTGACATGTGAGGGGAGAAAGATGATAGGGATCAAAATTACATATTCCAAAAATATTAGAGGTCTGAAATTGACAGTAAGATACAGTGAAAGAATTGGCAGACAGACAGATATAATTCTAGCTTTATTCCTAATAAACTGTATTCTTTGAATTTATTTAGCCTCTTAGGGTCCTCAGTCTGTCAAAATGTAATAGGTATCTCTACAGCATTCAAATTCTGCAGTTTTCTTATTTTGTGGCAGACACGAGGCAGTAATACAAATTCCAAATGCTACCTAAAAGGATATTGTTTACCAAATAGGGTTTGTTTTATAGAATTTTAAAATGTGTTTTTGTTGTATTTTCATTTCAAGTATCTTTTCAACCTCTCTTATTGTTGTAAAATCTCTTTCTTCAAACAGATTATTAAGCAAGTAAATATTATCCAGGTGTGCAGAGGTGACTTTTCTTTTTAACCACATGATTCTCAGAAAAATAGAGAGGCGGGGAGCCATAAATCAGCATTAAGGCTGTTTTGTAATAAAAACCCTGGTTGACATTGAAGAACACCTTGACTCTTTCATTTAAAATTTATTACTCTTTGAAAAAGGAAATCTTGCTGAGCTACATATTTTCTCTTTTAACAGATGTCTGATCAGCCCATATTTTAGTTCTATTTAATATGCTTTTCAGCTATTTTTAAAAGCTGCTACAAATGTAAAAATAACTGAGTTAGATCAGAAGTGTCTAACTGTATGAATGAAGCTGAGTCACTTGTAAATTTATAAAAACAACAACAACAACAAAAACTTTCCTTATATTGTTAATGCTTTTAGAATACCGTATGTGGGAATTAATGTTCAATGTAGCCAAGAACCAAATTCAAAGCCATATATTGAATATTTTAAGTTGATTAGTAGGAAAGCTAATTTGATGGTTATTTTTAAAGTACATAGAGCATATTAACTATAATGAAGTGTCACTTCTGTGCCTGGCATTCATTGTATGTGTGTGTTTGGATGGGACGTGAAAAAGGAAAAAGGATGAGAGAGGGCCATGTAATCAAAGAAAACTCGTTTTTTTTTTTATTTGCAGTATATACATTCTAATTTGAAATATATATAAATTTTAATGCATATAATCATAAAATGT